GGAAGGAAGGAAGGAAGGAAGGAAGGAAGGAAGGAAGGAAGGAAGGGAGGGAGGGTGGGAGGGAGGGAGGGAAGGAGTACAGGCCTGAAATCCAGTCCAGCTCTTCCTGGGATCCCAGGGTTGGGAAGTCTGAGGAGAGGAGCCACTTGAGGTGCAGGCTAGCCTGGGCTACCTCAAAATTTTCATAGCCAAGCAAACAAACCAGATCTCTAGAGAGAAAGAATGAAGGATGATTAGCCCAGAACAGAGGAGATGGTTCTTAGCATCAGGACTGAAAGACTAAGCTGAAGAAAAGCCAAAGGGACACCTACAGTGGGACCAAGACAAGGTCCAACAAACACCCTAAAGGTTCTTAGGTCAGGAAGGGTCTTAGGGCAGGAGGTGGATCACAGCCTGACCCGGAAGAGGGCTGGTGGTGCCTTCAGTGCCAATCCAGGGCCTGATTCCGAGGACAATAGAGTCATGGCTATATTCGGAGCAGGAGAGCGGCGTACTGGGCCCCCGCTGCCTGGACTAGAGCCCCCCGCCCTTTCCCACAACGCGGGCGGGAGGGTGTGCCGCCCTTTGACCTTCTCTGGTCTGGGCCTCGCCACAACCAGGCCTCCAGGCTCACCCTCTCTGGGAACCAACTCCAAGAGCCCCAGCTTGTCTCTGCCGCTCTCTTTCCCTGGGCCCACGGGCGCCCGGAGGCAGGGCACCGAAGCGGCCAGCAGCTGGACCCGTGGCCCGCCCGCGCCCCCACGACTGTGTATATACCAGATGCACCCAAAATGCAGAACCTGTAGGAAGTGGACCATGCCAGGGCCCTGCAGAAGGATACCACGAGTCTTGTTTAGTAGCAGTTTGGAAGGTGAGGACCGCAGCAGGACGCGAGAAAACGGAGCCGCTGGCTAAGGAACCACCAAGGCTCAGACAGTTAGAAAATGATTATACCCAGCTGGAGGAGGCGGGTCAAGGCTGCTGGGACTACATTTCCCAGAAGTCCCTGCGCCAGAAAGAAAGCTTCTCTCTCTCTCTCTCTCTCTCTCTCTCTCTCTCTCTCTCTCTCTCTCCCTCCCCCCCCCTCCCCCCCCCCCCCCCCACCGGCCGAGGGCGGGACCCGGGAGCGCAGGGATGCCTGGGAGCACTGCCGGGCCGGGCCGCGTGACGCCATTCCTGTGCGCCGCCTAGAGTCTCCGTCGCGCCGGTTCTTCAGCTCCGAGCGGTGAAGGTGACAGCGGGAGGTGACCGGCCCGGTCCCCGCGATGCTGACGGCACGGCGGCTGCTCGGCGGGTCGCTCCCCGCGCGGGTGTCTGTGGTTTTCTACAGCGACACGGTGAGGCCCGGCTGGCTGGGGCCCGGGCGTCCGCGGCCGGGTCTTGCCGCCGCGCCTTCGCGCCAAGCCCCCTTGCGTAGTGCCTTCTGCGGAGCCCTCGCTTCGTCCCCAGGCAGGCCGGGAGGCTGCAGCTCCGTCCCGGCTGTAGTTAAGGGACGGTTGCAATGGGAGGCTGACCCCTCGTCGGGCAGCCTGGCTTTTCTGTTTAGCCGCCTCTTGGTCTACGGGAAGTTTTGCAAATTCGTGGAGCGTCCTAGGCTGTCCTTCCTTCCCCCCTTGCAGGCTTGTAGGGTGCGAGAGATCATTGCTTCATTCTGCATGTGTAGACAGCATGGAGGGGGATGTGCAACTCCTCACTCCCGTCCCATTCCAGCGCTCTGCTCTTCAAAGGACTGAGAGTGCAAGTCAGGTTTTCTCCTCGCAGGCCACTCTACTAGGTCATGTGAAATTCCTAATGAACCCTCTAGATTTCCTGTGTGTCTCAGCTCCAGTAAGGCATTTCTGTTTCATAGTAAACACATTTTGGTGGATGCTGGTGGCTCACTTCTGTAATCCTACCTCTTCAGGAGGCTGAGGTTTGAGGATTGTTGTTGGAAGTCAGCCCAATTGGGAGACTCATTTCCAGTTATCCATTCTGGAAGTGGAACTGTGGCTCAAGTGGTAGAGCACCAGCCTTGAGTGAAAAAGCTCAGGCACAGAGCCCAGACCCCAAGTTCAAACTTCACTGACCACATAAAACAGATTTTTACCTCTTTAGAAGAGTTATTATAAATCCCCTGCCCTAGCAAAGTTTTGGTCCAGCAAGAGAGCCCGACAAATGGCATGCCATCATGCAATTTCTATGTGTGTGTATGTATGCACGCACATTTGCATGCACACATGTCTACCAGTATGGTAGCTAGAATTCAGGGCTTTGTAGCCTTGCTTGGCGTTATTGCTGAAAACTTGTTCTCTATCACTTGAGTCACACCTCCACTTCTGTCTTTCTGCTGGTTAATTAGAGACAGGTGTCTCAAGGACTTTTCCTGGGCTGCCTTTGAATCGCAGTCCTCAGCTCTCTAGTCCTCAGCTTTCTGAGTAGCTAGGATTATAGGTGTGAACCACCAGTACCCTGGTCATTCATACAGTCTTGTTGTTATGATTTTAGTGTGGGCTTTGGTCTTTGACAGACCTCAGATCAGATTCCATTGGTTGCTTTCAATTGTGTGATTGTTTTGTTTTGCTCAGAGACTCAGTTTCCTTCTTTGTAAAATGGAGGAAATAATCTGTCTCAGGATCATTATAGGGATGAATTGAGATTTGGGGTGTAAAATATTCAGGCCAGTACCTGCTAAAGAGGAAGTACTGAAGTTGGTAACTAAATGGCAATTATGGTGATTCAAAGGATTTGAGGCTCAGGCTTCTGCCCTCTCTTCAGCCCAGCCCCTCCTAAACAGGAGGACACAAGAATCTGTAGCTTCTCAAACAACCTTGGCTGGGACACCTGACCTCTTTGTCTCCTCAGACAGCGCCCAAGAAAACCTCATTTGGTTCACTGAAGGATGAAGATCGGATCTTCACCAACCTGTATGGCCGCCATGACTGGAGGTGAGGCAGTGCCCTTAACCTGCTGGTCCCTTTGCAGGGCCTTTCCTTCACTGTCTTCCCCACTCTGTCCAGGCTGAAAGGTGCCCAGAGTCGAGGTGACTGGTACAAGACCAAGGAGATCCTGCTGAAGGGGCCCGATTGGATCCTCGGTGAAATCAAAACATCAGGCCTGCGGGGCCGTGGAGGTGCTGGCTTCCCCACTGGCCTCAAGTGGAGCTTCATGAACAAGCCCTCAGATGGCAGGTGAGTAGGGGAGACAAGACAGTTTGCAAGAGAGTCTGGGGATGGCTGAGATTTATATGACCCTTGAGGCTGTTTCCTGAGAAACTGTAGCTTGAATGAGATAAGAAAGCTGATTGTTGGTGACTTATGCTTGTAATCCTAGCTACTCAGAAGGCTGAGAACTGAGGGTTATGATTGAAGCCACCTGGGCAAAAAAGTGTGAGACTCTTACCTCCAGTTAACTACAAAAAGAGCCTGAAGTGGAACTGTAGCTTACGTGGTAGAGCACAAAAAAACTCAGACAGCACCCAGGATTTGGTGCTGAAAAGAAAATACACCCAGACTATGAGTAGATGGGATTTTTTTTTTTTGGGGGGGGAAGGTCTGGTCATGGGTCTGAACTCTGGGCCTGGGCGCTGTCCCTCAGATCTTCAGCTCAAGGCTAGCGCTCTACCACTTGAGCCACAGCGCCACTTCCAGCTTTTTTCTGCTTATGTGGTGCTGAGGAATCGAACCCAGGGCCTCATGCATGTGCAAGTGCTCTACCACTGAGCCACCTTCCCAGCCCTAGATGGGATTTTTAGTTTTCTCTGGCATTCACCTTCCTCAGGGATTTAAGGTATAGCAGAATCAATAGGAAAGTTTGATTCCGGTAGGTTTGGCTGTTCAAATCCCAGCTTTGCCTTATACTAATTGTAGGGTTGTTATGGCCATACGCCCCTTTTCCGCACGTGAACATACTATCATTTTGGAATAAAAAGATAATATTCATTCAGCATTTAGCCCATACTTTGGTTGTCACTCAGAAAGGAAATAGTGAAAATTAGCTGCTCTTTCTCTTTTGGGTCCAGAGATTGAAGGTTGAGGAAGGCTTGTTGTGACCATGAGCAGAATTTGTCCCTCAAGGAAAGCACAAGGAGGGATACTGGGATTGAGCAGAGCAAAGAACGTCCTGGTGATTATTCCTATTCAGAGAGAATAGACACTGAGCTCTCTCATCGGTGCTGAGTAGGCATAGCCCCAGGGACATGGTGGGAAGTCAGAGAGGGATCAGCTGTGTCTCTAGACATCGGTGAGGCCTCCCTGGGAGGAACAGAGACTCAGTCCTTGTGGGATTGTGTAGCATGCCCGACTGACCTGTGAGCCCCACAGGCCCAAGTATCTGGTGGTGAATGCTGACGAGGGGGAGCCAGGCACCTGCAAGGACCGGGAGATCATGCGCCATGACCCTCACAAGCTGGTGGAAGGCTGCCTGGTGGGGGGCCGGGCCATGGGTGCCCGTGCTGCCTATATCTACATCCGCGGAGAATTCTACAATGAAGCCTCCAATCTGCAGGTGGGCAGGGGCAGCCTCAAATGTGCACTCCTCCCTTCCCCCTACTGCCCTCTCCCGCTGTTCTGGGAAGCTAGTGCTGGTCTTTGGAGCTCAGCTGGCACAGCGGTGGCCATGCCTGTATGCAGACCGAGCAGGACCAGGCCTTGACGCCTTTCTTCTCTGGGCTCCTTCTTTATCACCAGTGCCTCAACTTGGAAAGCCTTCAGGGGTTCAAAGCCCATGGAGTTAGAGGTGCACTTGTAGGTTAGGCTGGGGAATTGACATCTTGTCCCTCAGGTGGCCATCCGAGAGGCCTATGAGGCAGGCCTGATCGGCAAAAACGCCTGCGGCTCTGGCTATGATTTCGATGTATTTGTGGTGCGCGGGGCTGGAGCCTACATCTGTGGAGAGGAGACGGCGCTCATTGAGTCCATTGAGGGCAAGCAGGGCAAGCCGCGCCTGAAGCCGCCCTTCCCTGCGGATGTGGGTAAGACCTCACGGACCCCGAACCTTGTCTTGGTTGAAGCTGGCTTGTTGCCTGTGGGTGGTTTTTGTGGGATTTCTTGGTGCAGGGCCAGAAAAGAGGGTAGTACTAGCATCCAGGCTCTGCCTCCACAGTGCCCATTCTGGGAGCTAGGGATGTGATGGTGAGCATGCGTGAGCTCCTCTGAAGTCGGGGTCCAGCCTGGGTGGGGTGACTAGTGAGTGTGATGAGCCCTGGAACAACCCCTGCTGCGAGAGCCCGCCCCGCCCCGCCCCTGCCACCAACCCCATTGCTCATCTCCTCCAAGGGGTGTTCGGATGCCCCACGACCGTGGCCAATGTGGAGACAGTGGCTGTTTCCCCTACCATCTGCCGTCGTGGGGGCGCCTGGTTTGCCGGCTTTGGCCGAGAACGCAACTCTGGTACCAAACTATTCAACATCTCCGGCCACGTCAACCACCCTTGCACTGTGGAGGAAGAGATGTCTGTGCCCCTCAAGGAGCTGATTGAGAAGCACGCGGGTGAGTCCGGCTGCCATGCAGGGGCTCAGGACAAGAGCCAGGCTGAGGGGGCTGACAAGAGTCCCGGCTTGGGACGAGGCAGCTGTGTCTGCCCCAGCTCTGACCATCCTTTGTTGGGGGGACTGACTTGGGCCCTCAGGAGGGGTCACAGGTGGCTGGGACAACCTTCTTGCCGTGATTCCCGGTGGCTCGTCTACCCCCCTGATCCCCAAGTCCGTGTGTGAGACAGTGCTGATGGACTTCGATGCGCTGGTGCAAGCGCAGACAGGCCTGGGCACGGCCGCCGTGATCGTCATGGACCGCTCGGTAAGGGCAGCCGCGCCCACTCAGTCCTCCTGCCAGCTTGCCTTCAGCCTCCCTACTTCCTGCAGCCCGAGATACCTGTGCAGTGCTGCAGGAGGGAGCCAGGCCGCTGCACGGGATGCCCTAGACCTGGGCGGTGCTGGGCCCAGGAAGCTAGCACCCAGGGGTGGGATGCTGCTGGGGTCTACAGCCCAGGCTCCACACAGACCGAGCCACCTGCTCACTTGCTTTTTCTCCCAGACGGACATCGTGAAGGCCATTGCCCGCCTCATCGAGTTCTACAAGCACGAGAGCTGTGGCCAGTGCACCCCATGCCGAGAAGGTGAGCGTCGGTAGGCCGGAGCTGCCCGCAGGGGCTTCTCAGTGGCCACCCCCCTGTGCCTGCGCCCATCCCCTGGCTGGGGAACATCAGGCCCCCTTGCTGCTGTGGCTGCAGGTGTGGACTGGATGAATAAGGTGATGGCCCGCTTCGTGAAGGGGGACGCTCGGCCGGCGGAGATCGACTCCCTGTGGGAGATCAGCAAGCAGATAGAGGGCCACACGATTTGTGCTCTGGGTGACGGGGCCGCCTGGCCTGTGCAGGTACTCCCCACCCTGCTGGGTGGCTCTAGTCTGGTAGCCCTGAGAGCCCAGGGCATGGGGAGGCTTTGGGACCCTGCGTCACGCACCGCCTCTCTCTCTGTCCCAGGGTCTGATCCGCCACTTCCGGCCTGAGCTTGAGGATCGGATGCAGCGGTTTGCCCAGCAGCACCCGGCCCGACAGGCGGCCTTCTGAGCCCCGTGCCCCGACCTGCCGTCTGGATTACTGGACAATAAAGCACGTGCCTCCCACTCTCCCATCCCGGCTTGTCTGTGACTGCATTTCAACCTGCGATCCCCGCTACCCCCCTCCCCACTTCCCCCTCCTCCTCCTCCTCCTCCTCAAGAACCCTGTTCCCAGTGCCAGCAGCAAGATAGAGTGGGGACCAAGGGCCAGAAGCAGGTGTTTATTTGGGGTTCACTACTTGGAGTGAGGTGGCTGAAAGGCAGGGGCTAGAATGGGCGCCGTAGGTGGGGAAGAGCCAGGGCTCCTTGCAGCCTGAGCGGTGTCCCGGCTGCGGGGGAGGCCTCGCGCAGGCCCGTGCTCACGGGTCACCACACGGGGGTGCATCGTCCAGCGGGTGCCACAGCTCCAGCCGGTGGTCGCAGCGGCCCAGGCACTCGTGCCAGTGGCGCAGGCGCTCCCCACTGGCCTGGCTGCTCAGCTGTACCCCGCCTGTGGTGGGGGACGGGTGAGGAACAGCAGGACCCTTGGGGCTCTCTGTACCCCGTATCCCACTCACCAATGAAGTCATCGGCCGTGCCCAGGTCGTAGTCCCACACAGACACCAGCAGCGCCTTCTGGGCCAGCTCTTCCCTCCGGCCCGGGTAGAAGAATTCCTGCAGGGAACGGGCAGGAAGGAGGCGGTGGGTCCTTCGTGGCTTCAGAACCAGGCTCCGGCCAGGCTGGGGCCCTCCTGGCACAAGCTCACCTCATTGAACTCGGGGTTCAGGGTCTTTCTCCGAACACTGGTCTTGTACTTGGACTTCTTCCCCCCGTTTGGGTGCAGGAAACTGGTGAGGGAGATGGGGGCGTTGGGGTGACCCGGGATCTGGGGAGCTGCCGCCTCACCCCGCCCCCCGCTTCTACTCACAGGCGGACAAAGGGGTCTGAGTAGCCGTTGGCGTCCATGGGGGCCAGGTGGGCGCAGCGCAGCACCCCCACCAGCAGGCCGCGGCGCTGGGAGCTGTAGCACAGCGACAGCAGGATGCGCCCGCGCTCCTCCCCGGCCATGGCCTCCGCCTCTTCCTGTGGGTGCAGCCTGGGGTGAGCCCGGCCCACCCACAGCCCAGCCCACCAGTGTCCCCGCCCCAGCCTCTGGGAGCCAAACAGGGCCAGGGCCCTAGAAGGAACCCTGTGGTCAGCTGTGCCCTTCTGGGCTGGGGGGAGGGGGAGCTGCCCCCCCTGCACATCCATCGTGGAAGGAAGAGACGAGGGGCTCAAAGGCCATGCACATGCTGATGCTTCCTGACTGGACCCTCCGCCACCCCTGCAGAGCCAGCCCCCGCTGTGGCAGCCGCTGGGGGGCGCTATTGTGCACTTACGAAGAGCAGGGCTCTTCAGTGCCACCCTGACTACTCTGCAGAGCACAGCCCCAGCCTCCTGTCTCGGGATGCCTGAGGAGAGTGGGCTTCAGACCCCATCCGCAATGCAGAATCCAACCCTCCCCTCCCCATGGCAGGCAGTTCTCAGGAGCAGCAATGGCATGGCCTTAAATCAGCTGCAGGCACTTGTAGCTCCACCAGGGGGCAGCAACAGCCCTTTGCTGGCAGGGGAGCTGGAGAACTGGCCCTCAGCCACAGGTCCCCTTCCTGGCTGGACAGTGGCACCTGGACAGGTGTTTGGTATCAGGGTTAGAGACACCCTGAAGTCACCTTCCCTGGGTCCTGACCGGGAGGGGCACCCACACTGAACTGAGGGCCTCACCCCTCAGCCACAGTTAAACACACATCTCAGCTCTGCCTCCAGGTCGCTTGCTCTCTGCTGGCCTCATCCATGAGGACTCCGCTGGCCCCCTCCCTGCCCACCCACAGGGCCCCGACGCATCCCTGGAGCTCCAAGGGCTCCCGGAGCTTGTGAGAAAGGGCTTCAAACTCCTCCGAGTCCACCCAGCCCTGGATCCCCTGCCGCGACCTACCTTCTCGTACAGGGACATGCCTCGGGCTGTGTCCAGGCCCTTGGGCCTCTTAACCTGAAAGGACAAGAGAGCCTGGTGACCCCGGCTGATGCGGCTGGGTCCCCTCCACCCACCTCCGCCCCACGCGCTGGCCTCCGATCACCAGCCTCCACTCACCAGCCTCCGCTTCTCCAGGCAGACGCGGAAGCTCCTGGCTCGGTTGGGCACCAGCTTCCTCAGGGGGACCCGCAGCTCCCCGAGTGGGGGGGCGCTCCGCCTTCGCCGCAGCCGGGAGTCCTCGCACACGCACAGCCTGGTGGGCCTCCGAGTCGGACCAGGCCGCACCCCCGCTCCACCACCCCCACGCCCCCGTCGCCATCAGGGGCCCCACCTCCACCCCTGCCCCGCTCCCTGGTGGCCCAGGCCCGGTGCTCACCGCAGGGTCTTGTGCCCAGCGTCCTGGCAGGTGAAGCCGTGGTAGGTGAGGGTCTCCTCCCACACCGGTCCCCTTGTGCCCCGAACCGTGCGTGTGCGAAGCTGGCTGGCCTGGACATCAAAGTGCGTGAGGCCACGCGCCCTCCTGAGCCAGGCCTTGTGGGTGGGGAGATGGGGGGGCCGGTGGGGGCAGCAGTGGAGGCCCGCGCCTCGCCCTTACCTTGCTGGCCCCTGGCAGCAAGTTGGCTTTGACGTAGGTGTCCACAGAGCCTGAGGCTGGTGGCTTGAGGCCCTGCGGGGAGAGGGGACAGGCTGGGGTTCGCCCTGGACCCCCTTTCCATGCGGGGACACCGGCCCCCTCCTCACCTTGGCGCGATGGGCCGTGCAGTGCAGGGCACTGTTGTCCGCGTCGAAGAGAAGCGTGAACTCCAGGGTGCCCAGGGCAGCTGGGGGCAGGGGGAGGCAGGGTGGGGTCCCCCTGCGGCTCCCCCAGACCCCATCCCGGCCGTCCCCTCCCCTACTCACTGCTGTCATCCGAGTCCCCCTCTGTGTCTGAGTCGGGTGGCGGCAGGGGCGCCGCGCGCATGGCGGGGTCGGGGTCCGCGCGGAGCG